ACAAGAGTGTCCCACAAGAGTGTCCCACAAGAGTGTCCCACAAGAGTGTCCCGCAACAGTGTCCCACAAGAGTGTCTCACAAGAGTGTCCCTTAAGAGTGTCCTACAAGAGTATCCCAAGTGCCCCACAAGAGTGTCCCAGAAGAGTGTCCCGCAACCGGCTCCCACAAGAGTGTCTCACAAGACTGTCCCTTAAGAGTGTCCCACAAGAGTGTCCTGTAAGAGTGTTCCACAAGAGTTTTGTAGGAGAGTGAGCCACAAGAGTTTCCCACGAGAGTGTCCCACAAGAGTGTCCCACAAGAGTGTCCTACAAGAGTGTCCCACAAGAGTGTCCAAGAAGAGTGTCCCACAAGAGTGCCCTGTAAGAGTGACCCACAAGAGTGTCCTGCAAGAGTGTCTCACAAGAGTGTCCCACAAGAGTGTCCGACAAGAGTGTCCCATAAGAGTGACCCACAAGAGTGTCCTATAAGAGTGTCCCACAAGAAGTGTCCTACAAGAGTGTCCAAGAAGAGTGTCCCACAAGAGTGCCCTGTAAGAGTGACCCACAAGAGTGTCCTGCAAGAGTGTCTCACAAGAGCGTCCTACAAGAGTGACCCGCAAGAGTGTCCTGTAAGAGTGCTCCACAAGAGTGTCCTACAAGAGTGACCCACAAGAGTGTCCTACAAGAGTGTCCCACAAGAGTGTCCCACAAGAGTGTCCCAGAAGAGTGTCCCACAAGAGTGTCCTACAAGAGTTCATTTTGCCATTTGGGCATATGGAACGTGTTTGCATTCGGGTTCGTGGGTTCCATCTTGTTTGCATTTCGTGTATTTGGAGGTTGGTTTATTTGGCTTTGTCCCATTTTCAAGTCACCCACAAACGGCGTTTTTTGTGGAACCACGAGAAGGAGAAGGAGAACAGTTCATGGATCCTCAGGCCTCCAAGGCTTGGTTGTCCTTTCTGGGGTTCGTCATGCACAGGCTCGGTGCCTCGGTCCAACTGAACGTGTATTTGTACTTGGTGCCGTGCTCCAGCTGATGGAGAGGAAGCCACGACTTTTGTGCCTACATGACATGGAACCGGTCGTGCTGCGGAGCAGTCGTGGAGCTGCTCGGAGCGGCCTGAACATGGAACTTCCAGCGCTTCGCTCGTAGATACAGTTGATGCATTCTGGCAAGCGGGCTGAATTCCCGCAAGAGCACATTCCACGGAGCCACACTTTGAGCCGCGCACCAAGCGCAGCTGACGGGGGTGTCATGCACTCATCTCAGGTCCCAGGCAGACAATAGGGAGTGACATGGAATACACGGAGTACACACTGTTTCCACTGCATGCTTTCAGGCCTTAAGTGCGTCTTGAGTATGTCTGAGACGCACTGTGCCACCCCGCAGATCAAACCAACCATATTTATCCAAGAAACTACTGTAGATCTTGCATCGGATCTACTTAGCAAGGATGCTTGGGCAACACCGAGACTTTTGATTCTTCCAGGTCACCAAGGCGAAGTACTGTGAAGATGTCTTGAGCAAAAAGCTAACATACCGACCAAGTTGGTTGAGCAGAAATCAATGTCTGTCATCAACCAAGTGATGCACACCTGGAGTCTCGAAGCACCTCCGAAAACAGGTGCAAGTAGGAAGGTCATGTCCCACTATCAAAGCTACTTTGGAGGATCCAGGTAGTGAAAAAGTCACCCAGGAGGCACTTCAACCAAGGTAGATTGGGCGAACAAACATATATGTCTTAATAATTACATGTCATGCAAAAAGGCCAGGTGTACATGGAGGTTATAAGGGTTTGAACTCACATCCCCCAATGTCAGAACATGTCTTTGGGATCTGTACCTCTATCCGGCGGGACTCCTTGGGTCGATGTGGGTCGAAAAAGGATTAAAAGGGATCGCTTCGTGTTTTGGAGGTTGGTTTATTTGGCTTTGTCCTTTTTTAGGTCACCCACCAGGCATTTGTGGAGGCACGCGAAGGAGAACAAGTCATGGAGGCCAAGGCCGACTGCCCTACAAGAAACGCCACATTCTACACTGAACGTGTATTAGTAATTGGTGCCGTGCTCCAAGCTGATGGAGAGGAAACCACGAGAACTTTCAACGCGTCGGTTGTAGATACAGATGCATTCTGGCAAGCGAGCAAGTCGTTTTCTTAAGCACGCATGGGCTCCTCAGGTTGATTTTGAATTGCAAAGTTCTTGTGAGAGACGGCGTGGGGGGGCTCCAAGACTTATAAAAATCTTGGCTGTGAATGGGTGGAGGTGGAGACGCCAGCGAGGGCAAGAGCCACATCCACAACCGTTTTGAGATGTTGTGATAGGAAGCACATGCATTGGGCGCAGCTGACGGCATGTCATGCATTCATCTCAGGTCTCAGGGATCAGGATTTTCTTGGGATGTTTTTCCAGAAAATAGCGAGTGTGACTGACATGGAGTAAACGGAGTAAACACTGTCTCCACTGTATGGTTAAAAAACCATCCAATGAGTTTTAAATATGATTGCTTATGTTTGTCTGAGATGCATTGTGCCACCCCCACATCATGAGGTATCGTCCATCAACTTAGCAAAGATCCATGGGCTACACCAAGAGTGTTGATTGTTCCAGGTCACCAAGACGAAGTACTGTGAAGATAAGTCGGTGCCAGCAGTGGTAATTGTTGGCCTGGCACTTCACAAGGAGCCGTGAACATTTCAACGAACACATGCGTTTCAAAGAATTAAACCAGACGCCTGCCAAATGCAAAATGGCAGTTTTGTTTCACGTGCCATGTGTTTAACATTGTTTAACATTTGTTGGATATTTTGGTGATCACCATGCCATATGTTTTGATGTCTCTTGTCATATGTCTCTTGATGCATCTCGGTGACAGGAGACTCTGGGTGCGCCGTTGTGCCCCTGCCGGCACTATGAAAACAAGGAGCTCGAGGCCAGAGATGGACTTTGTGACGAAATGGACACTTCAGCAGGAGCAGGGACTTCCACTTCAGCAAGGACCCGGACCCTGCGACCTTCCCGTGGCGGTTTCACCCTCTTTCCAGGACAATTGGACCAGTTCAGCCATTGGAATTGATGTTTTCCCTATTAAAAGATCTAGTCTGGACATATGGGTGGACTAGAGCAGTCCGACCCTGCGTGGCATCGGGCCGCGCCGGCCGCCGTGGTTCCTCCTGGCCGCCGCCGAGCCCGGTGTTTTCAACGGACGCCAGGTGAAGAATGGCTATTGGAACTGTCCATGTGTGCCAAACTGAGTCACCGACAGCCGACTGATTCCACACGACCTTTGAAGCAGATGAAGACGGGTCTTTGTTGGATGCTCGTTTTAGGGTGCACCGAGTCGAAAAACATGTTGGGAGTTTACATCCGTCACTTCGTCCTTTCTGGCTTTCTATTCAAGAAGATCAAGTGCTTGATGATTTACAATGATTTGAAGCAACGGCTAAACAGCAGGTGCCACTTTTCACTGCAAGATACATATTATCATAAGAGATCTGGAAAAAGACCATTGCTGTTTGTCAGACTCCGTCTTCTTTCCTGTCCAGCAAGACGTCCACCAGCAGCACAATTGTTTCTACGTGTAACATGAAGAGAGGCCGACCTACAGACATATCCGTATACGCAAAAACAAGATGCGAAAGAATATGATTGAATGTATAACTGTATAACAAACAAACACCATATATTATATGATCCATACAGACTGTATTTAGCAGAACATCGGAGGCAACCTCTTGAGCCCTATATGCCTTTTTGGAGCCGTTTGTTTGCCAGAGGAAACCCCATCCAAAAAGAACAGATCCCGCACGTGGGGCGTGGGGCGCGGGTGGGCGTACGCACGGCCAGTGCGGCAGGTCCCAATGCGTGAGCGTCACGAATGCCATTGCATGCTCTTCTTGAAAGACGACAATCCCTTCGCGTCGCTGGGTACCGGTAGTGTTCCGAAGGTGAAGGTGGGAGTCGTGGGAGTCGTTCCCGGCACGAAGGACGGGCGAATTCTTCTCTTTTATAAGTGTCCTTGCCAAGTACAGGCGAAACTGGTCCAGTTTTTATGGAAGAGCTGGTCAACATGGCGAACTGGTCCGTTTCTTTTTTTCTGGTGCCGGTGATGGCACCAAAGCCCCGGACGAACATGTTCGGTCTCGGACGGACATCGGGTGGTGTTGGTGCTGTCGGGCGGTGCTGAGTGAACCCGTTTCAGGTAGACGACGTTTCAAACTCGTTGACCAGCGATATCGTGAGCAACTCGACCGAGTTGTTTTTTCAATGTTTTTGCTGAGGCGTAAGCGAGTTTGGAGGATGCTTCTGGTGGTTTTTCATGGTGGCCCCAGCATCCAATATACAAGAACCTCGTATATAAGCCATAACCCTATAATATAACCCTATATAGATAGACCCCTACTCGGCCGGCTGTCTGACACGGCCGGCGCATGAGGTCGGAATGTTCGACGATCGACTTGGAGGAGATTATGAAACTGAAAGATGGCGGAGTTTGATCCATCGGGCCACGCGACGCTCGCGTGGAGTGTCGCGTGGAGTGGATCCATCGGGGAGAAGCGATGCGATGTAAGCGAGTTACGTGTTGGTCGTGGGAGTTTTCGGGAAGAGAAGCCTTGAGCTATGGAGCTGCTTGGTGTTTTAGGTGATCAATTCGAGGATGCAGGCAGAGTTGGCAATTGCTTTCGGACTTCGATGTCCCCCAAAACAAGTCCTAGATATATAATATATGAGGGGCAGGAGGACTTTGACAAACCCTCAGTCCAGAATCGAACACCATCGCCGAAAACCATCCCCGGTGGACGAATCCATGTCGGTTCCGACACACAATTCTCTGTTTCTCATGGCGGCCAGCCGTGTGAACTGCTGTGAACGGTGGGAAGGTCAGCAACAACTGCTGCAATACGTTGTGACTTGAAATATCCATCGACCCTCTCGACAAAAGCTTCTTTGAAGCGCCTTGGCCACATGAAGGACTTGTCAGTTTGACCGAGGGTCAATGGATCTCTTGTCAAAGTCAAAGGCTTTGCAACGTGGTCGTTTCCAACGTCCAAACCCAGATGCGCATCGGCAAAAAGTGTAAACATACATTTAGTGCGACGCACTGTGACAGGGACCGCGAGGATAGAGGGGACTCGATGCAGGGAGCAAGCCCCTGGTGTTTTGCCAGTTCTTGAGTCTTGAAGATTTTAGGTCCTTTTCCTTTGTCTTCCATGTTGTATGCGCAACCCGTTGGCGCTCCACCAGCGGAACCCGTGGGCGAGAGGGCCGGACCCCCCCCTTTTTGTGATGACTCATCATTAGTCGACCCAAAAATGCATGAAGTGAGACTGCAGGACCAAGCGGAGACCTCTTTGACACCAAAGCATGGAGGTCTTCGCCTGGTCCTTCGTTGTGAAACGTCGACAGGATCGGCATGTCATCGATCGGCCAACTGCTTGGTGCTTGGTCAATCATCAGGCGCAGATCGAGGAGGATGCACTGACCATCAGCCGGGCACCGATCGACCTCGAGCTCCGGTGCGAGAGGAATGACCTTCTCGGTGTTCTCGGTGAATGATTTAATGTCAGACTCAGTGTCAGCAGAGATTCTGCAACTGACTAGGATGAGGATGGATGAGGCATGGATATTAGAGAGCCCAGTAAGTAAGAAATATCAAGAATCATAATGGATGAGGTTTCTAATTATGACACATTCCCAGCTGCCCGCGCCCCAAAAAACCGTGTGAGAACACCAACCACGGGGGCATCAACATCCACCTCTCCTCCGCGCAGATCGGTGGCCGCGGTTCCGAGGTGTGGAGATCTTGGAGGTCACGGTCACCGAGGAGCTGGAGGGTTTAAGGCGTCCGAGCGTCCCGAGCGTCCGTGGAACGGGAATGAACGGACAAAACGGATCCCGGACGATCCGATCACGTCGGGCGACACGCGGATCCCGGGCGAGGTGGGTTCAGATGAGGAAGGTTGGGGGGTTTCTTACTGGAAAAAGGTGGACAGATCGGCTGTTACCTTTTTCACATGGAAGAGAGAAAGCAGGGGGAAGGCGAGAACTTCGGCGTGGCCTCGACGAGATTCTCTTTCGATCACACTGAGGGTTCTTGGCAAGGAAAAGGTTGTGACAGTGTTGGAGCCATCGATGTTGTTAGTCTTGAAAGTTGGGATCCAGCCAGTTGTTCAAAGGAATGTGACAGGCAGCTGAGCAGCTAATTGAGCACAAAACACCCGTGCTGTACTCCGGTCAGGATGCAGACATGAGGTACTGAGTTTGTTGATTGTTGTTGATCTATATATATAGAGATAGCATAAGATAGCGACATAGTCTATATGGTCTATCTACATATTGTATAAATCTTCTGCCACCCCCTGTTGTTTGCACCGTGCAAGAAACCGTCATTTCTAAAAGAAATCGTTGGACGACGTCACGTGCTTCGCGAAAGCGCCGAGCCTCCAGGTTGATCAATCAAGGGATTTATCAACCACTGAGCCTCGAGGTGCCATCAGAGAGAGAGAGAGAGGGAGAGACCGCACCAAATGCCGTTTTTTGTTTCAAGAAGTAGCCGCGGCGTTCGGATGATCATGGATGATCCGAAGATGATGTTAAGTTGCTTGAGTTTAGTGTTTTTGCTCGCAAGAAGTGTTTTGCACCAATGTTATTTAAGGGCTGCCGCCCCTGCCGCCGACCCCGGGACTCATCAAGGAGGAGGAGTACTGCAGCTTGCACTCGCCAAAAAGCTATGGTTCAGGTGACTTTCCTTCATGCACCATGGAAGTGAACCTGTTTGTAGACGATGGTCCTCTAAATCCATGTTGGCCATGCCACCCACTTCCAGGATTGTTTCAGGGACAGCAGGAGTGGTTATGGAGCTGTTCTGCAACTTTGGCCCAGACGCTGCGCCAGTCCAAAAAAGGCTGCGACATCTCAGACTTGAGAATTGCAGGCTTCGGTCACAGTGCAAGTGCATGTAGCAACATGATGCAACATGCAGGAGTGGCAGCCAGACCAGTGGCAAACGGATAGATTTGCACGGATTTGCAGATTGAGGGCACTATCAAAAACATTCAACCACTACTTATACATACACTCCTGCACGAATCTTTAGGTTCAGGATGTTGCAGGTGTGTTTGTGTAGATAGGAGCCCATATAGGCCATATAAGAATAAACCAAGCATATATGATATGACTCCAATCCAGTTTGGCGAATCATGGGAATCCTAGTCCAGTCCAAGTGGTGGATCATGTCCAGAAGCAATGCCTTCAGGCGGCTTCACTTGTTTCACGCCTCAAAGACGGCGCCCCTCTTGGACGTTTGGGACCTAGATTCAAAGAGTTAAGAGGCACGTTCGCATCCTCAACCTCCACACCGGCTCTTTCCACCGCCCGGTTCCAAGAACTCCAGTCTGGTGGGCCCATGTCTGCGACTTTGCGAGCTGGTGTGCATTGTATGTACCAGCATGTATAGTTCTTTGCGCATTGGTGCTGCCCAGTTGGATCCTCATCCAATGGGTTTTAGTGATGTCTAATTTCGGATGCAGCATTCATTGCCGAGATGTGCCAAGCCCATATGGCCATGGGATATAAAGTTTAACAAGAATGTAGAACCTCACTGGAGTGACCAGGAGACTTCCCCAGTTACTGAAACGACTCGGTGGCTCGTGGAGAAAGGACAGAAAAACATACAGCACCCCAACAAATTGAAGCGATGAAGCGGATGAAGAGAGGACCGGTAAGCAACGTTCTGCACATGGGCCACTTGGAGAAGACCAGTGCGCAACTGGGTCGGCTATTTTACAGCTTTCGCCATGGCCTGTGTGGCGACTTTGAATGGCTTCTTCCGAGAGGAAGTGCCTTGGCCTTGCATCGAAAAGGGACATAGATTTGGGAGAGCCCGCAACCAGCGAGTGTTAGTCTATTCGTCCTTTTCCCGAGTTCTTTGGTAGGTCTTCCTGCTTTTTTTGCGTAGGTAGCCATAATGGCCTCTTTGCTCATTGCGACATGGCACGGCTGTAGGCTGTTTGTTTTTATAAGCCTTTGATCCGGGAGATACACACGCGTTTGTTTGATCCCTCCCCACATCCATCGCTCTTCACGCATCTTGACCATGTCATGCGTCGATCTTCACCACGGGGAGCGCGTCTACATGGACCCTCATCGACCACATGATGCACGTCTTTTTGACGGTGTACAGTCTACAGTGTACAGCAAAAGGTGGCAACTATAGGCCAATAAAAGGCTTCTTTCACAAGGGAGCGCTGTGACAAACAAGGTGCTGATTGTCATGATGTTTGTCGCGGACACCCAAGCAGCATCAGGAATATCAGTATCAGCTTAACAAAAAGGTGGTTATTCTTTTTTGTATCAGCATCAGTTCCTGCGCTTAACAAAAAGGTGGTTAACGAGACCAGTACACCATCTTTCTCCGCCGACGCTCTTCCGGAGAAAACGGGAAACAAGTGTGCGATGCGTGTCACACTACACGCATCCAGACCGTCCAACGCAAACGCGTCGCCGCCAAGACCCACGCGCGTGTAGCGTCGCTGCGCCAACGAATCCACCGAGAGCACATCCTGCAAGAAATCAAAGACCTCATCGCCAGTCACGTCCACGAACGCAAACGTCTGGCTCCGACGGACTCCGGCGCACAGGAAGCCAACGCCGCAAAGCGCCCCAAACAAAGCACAAGTGTCGTGGCACCACACGCATCGTCCATCGAGCCACTGCCGAGCACAGTCCCGCACAGTCGTCGTCAAACAAAACGCCAAGCCACGACAGAGACTCACCCCAAACCAGAATCCAAACAAGGAAAACAAACCACGTCAAGCGCGCAGCCACACGCGCCAACGCATGGCCACGCATTCAATCCGGAGGTGCCCGAGGCGAAGCCAGGGAATCAGGTCAGAGGGGAGCCGACAAGGCTGTATGACTACGTCTGCCCACGCTGCAAATGTCCATGCCGCAGTGGGGTCCAAACTGGCCGAGTCCACCATCGAGGAAAGTGCGGCCACAAATTTCGTGTCTTGGACGGTGCAGTTGCTGGTCGCCAACACGAGCACACTTGTCCACGATGTGGTGCGCGCGTCTTGTCAGCCAAGCCCAATGGACGAATTCAAGTCCA